ACGCCATCAGCTCCTTGTTCTCTGGTCGATATAAAACTATTGTCGTGAGCTGTCGTGAGCCTCAAGTTCTTGGTTGAGTGTGGCACGAAACATATCCACCCAACAAAATTTCATGCATCATATGACACCAACACAGAGCCCCAGATGCCGTAGTTACCAAATGTCTTGCCGTCAAGAGACGGTGCACTTGTGAGAAACATCGTACACGAACACCACCGACAATGTTCAACTCATCTCCTAGCACGAGCACACAGAGTAGTATCAGACGTTGCGCTCGCGTGTAAATGAGTGACAAGCAGTGCCGGGGCAAGTCGGTTGACTGACCGTGCCTGCTATGCTTGTATATATCCACCATCCATTCCATGTCAAGGACACACATCCGCCGCGGACTCACTCCTAGACGTACACGGTGCCTTAAACATGCACCAAATGTTTTTGCCGAAGCCTGACTCAGAATACACATACATACAATACATAGCTGCCTCTTGGCACCCCCCGCCACACACGTCAGGAAAGACCGTCGTCATACGAACAAACATCCTGTCTGTGCTTCTTTCTCCCTCACCCGAGACGGTCCGCCTCGCTCGACGTTCGTTTGGAGGTAGATGAATGTGACGAGGGAGCACGCCTTTCTTTCCCCACCTCGGCTCTGTCGAGTGTCACTTGAAGTTCGCCCACAATCAATTGCGGAGGAGGTTGTTGGTTGGGATGTATGTCCTGCCGGAACGAGTAGCCCGATCGCAACGAACGTACGTGCGTATTTCACAGCAAGGGCGGAGGAAAGAAGGAAGGCGAAAAATACCACAAACAGCAGTCCCCGCGTGAGGGCGTGAACGGCACACTTCGGGGCTGGCTTCGCTGGCCACACATACATACATATTCCACTGCCCAAAATCTGTCACAGATGATTCTGAGCGCAAAGGGGCACAGTGAACGCACCGTTAGTCTTATGTATGTCTACTTGTAGAAGTGAAGCCTCAGAGAATTTTCATCCCGCGCGCTATGCACATAATACGCATAATATAAAAAATTGCGGTGCATGTGTGTCCCGAACCAACGAACCCACCCCCAACCTTCTGCTTCCAGAAAAGTCTCTCACTTACTTTCATGGTGTTGCCGTTTCGTTATGGAAGGGCGCTCAACGAATGAATGGATGCCATCATCATCGTGTTTCGAGCAAGCTAGCGCCGCATGCATGCTCAGAATCGCGCCCGCCCGTCATTAGCTGGTGAGGGGCGGGAGACGTGCGGAGTGCGTGCCTCCGTTCCTGTTCTACACCCAAGAGTCAAAGCTTTGGCGACATGGTTCTGATACTGTATCTTTACAACGGTTGGTTGAGGTTGTATGGTTGGTTATGTTGTTGTGGTCGTTCCATCGGATGTTCGGTGCTCGAAATTTGAAATGGCGTTGTTGTACTAAATAGTCTCAAACAACTTTGAAAAACACTAACAGCAGCGAATATTCGACCTGGCTACTACGCCGAACGCAGAAGAGAATCATCGATCATGAATGAAGCAAATACGCGTGCCTTTGTCACTGCTGTATATATGTATGTACTGCTGTAGCTCACCCAAACGTTGAGACAAGTCTCATCCATATCCACCGCACCTATCATCGCTGGTTATTTTCCGGGCGGTGTCTTCCCTGATGACTCTGGTGTGGCTGCAAATCTGCTCATCAGCAGCAGCGTGGTATTGTAACCATGCGCCATGTAACCACGACCGGTACCGGTGGGATCACCGTATTTCCCTTCGATCTATGACGTCGTTGCTCTTGACGGGACGACTGCTAAAATAATTCAACAATCATTCAATTCTGCAGTATTGAAATGTTTGTTTTACATGAATGTGTGGACTATACCACGCAGCGCGTTGAGCAGTAGGCCACCCTCCGATCGACGTTCACTGCAAGACTTGCTGCCTCGGCTACGTCAGCTGACAAGAGAACACACTGCACTACCGCACCTTTTCCGAGTATGCGTGGTGGCAAAGTGGGCTTGTTGAGACGCACAAAAAAAGCTGATGCCCGGGGTTCGAATCTCCCCTCGAGCATAAATTTCTTTGCGCCCGAATTTATGAGGAAGAAAAAGTCTGGGGAAATATTGTAGGCTTCGAAAAAATAGCCGATTAACTTCTTTTGTTGTACCGATAGCGATTTCCGGGCAAGACAACGCTCATCACAGGGAGGGATGGCAACCCTGGGGGGACGTGTTTGTCGCTGCAGAGCCAGACCAGACACACACGGGGATAACTTTTGTTGAGACGCACGATGGCCACTAGACCACAAGTCGGCGCTGACTGTGGTGTAGTAGTGGTCATCGTGCTTCTCAACAGGGCCTTCACGCGGCGTCCTGTCGCACCCAGCCATCACGATCCCCTACAGATACACGCTCAAGAGCAACATCACCCCCCAGCCCCCCAGTATGGTATGAGTGCTACCACTTGTTGTTGGTTGAGTCTCCACGATGGTTTCCATAGTGGTCTCCACGGTGGTCTCCGTATCAGAATTACGTATTTATGTTGTATGTACCACCTACTACCGTGCCCTGAGCCCGATAAGTGCCACGCCAACCTACCATGCTACGTACATGAAACAACGGGAACACATTTTTTCTGCGGGCAGGAGCTGGGAGAAAAAGCAGAAGAACTCGGTCTTTCTAGAAAGTACACAAAATCTCACAGAAAGACCACCCGTTCGAGACAATACCACAGTCGAAGGGGATGTGTTGAAGTCTTTACAGTGAGTGAGTGAAAAGAAACCGGCTGGATACTGGGCTTATTTAGGGTCTGTTTTAGCCTAGACTATACACTGAAATTTTATCAGTGATGCCAGCAAGTCTTTCTGTTTGCTGTCCTCAAGAGGTCCCATGTTATGCATGGTAGTGGACACATCTCCGAGCAATCTCTCTCCTCTTCTAACATGGAGCGTGTTGGATACAGAACTCCGCCTTCTCAGCGCCTCTTCTTCGCGGCATCAGAAGTGCTGCCGTCGCCATCTTTCTATTGTTTCTACAGACATGGGACATTTCCGCGCTGACCGTTCGAAGTAACCAGGGTAGCTGAACCTTTTTGGCATACACGCTGCCCTATGCACGCCGCTAGCAACACAACACGATTCATCGCAAACTTCTTCTGCCAGCAGTGGTCTCTGCGTCTATGCGGTAGGTGATGGTATCATATGCTTACGTACTTCGAAGTACATAGCACCCGTTCAAATATCAGCTTCCCTCTCCCCCATCTTGTTTCTTTAACTGATTCATATTCGTACGTGCTCATGTATATGGTGTGTCTATGGCACGTGTTTGGTGAGCTCTCTCTTTGCTCTCTGCAGCAACTACACACGCCATCACACGTCATGTGTCTGACAAAAGGGCGGCACCGCCGGCGCGCCAGCGCGTCCTCGATGGTTCCGCGAGATACTACAACCCCTATACCCATCCACGGAGCCCCTCCGGGAGACGTGCTCAGAGTGCACCGAGCACCACACAGCACACAGCAGTAGCTGCTCTGGCCTTCTACCAGTCTATGCATACTCACAGAAGTCTGATCCTGCTACCAGCTGAGCTTTACGAGACATCTAGCCCAAGCAGTCTCCTGGTGGCTGCCGTGAAGAGATTTTAGGTGGGTTGCAGGTTCGGACCATTTTCGTGTCGCTTGTGTTGCGGAGGCCCGGAGCAGCAACTGCCTGCTGTACATACCAGCCTGCAGAGGCTCACACCAAACACATGTCGCCGTAGCACAAACCCTAATGGATGCAGTGGGTTTGTGGAAGTCTGACACTCTCCCTTTTTTGTAAACGATGCCATTTATGCATAGATAGATGGCCAAGGCCCGTAGATGGTTGCGATCATGAGCGCAATGCATGCATTCGAAACAAGCGGCGGAATCATGCGCACAAGGCCTCCCGCTGCTTGTTCCAACGGTGCGGTTCTAAGAGACTTTTCTATCATACCTCCAGGTACGACTGCTGTTGGCAACCAGCTACTTTTAGGAAACGTCCCATGGTTGCAAGTACACCACACGGTCCATTGCTGCTACAGCAGTGAGTGGCGGCTCCGATATAAGCGGGTGGTGAGACGAAAAGGCCCTCGACTCTCTCACACTGGCCGAACTTACTCACAGCGGGTCAATCCGTGAAAACACCTTATGTCGGAGCCCCCCTCTTGATACGTACCCTCTTATACATGGGAGCCATGACTGTAAGTAGTTTCGCGCATCTGTTCCGGTCTCTTCTCCGCTCGGCGGGACTGCCTTCCCTTTCAGATTGGTTGCTCGAGCCTCGTTCTGTACCACACGCAGCAGGACTTGTACATTCATGCTAGGCAGCATGGGTTCTACTGGTGCTAACGCTCTTGCGCCGATTGCTCCGTCATCATGGGCATTGATCAGTTTCCTCTTATCACCATGTAGGGCTGGCACCAAACGCCTTCGCAGCCGGAGCCCTTTCGCCAAGTGTGGCCTACCATTGTTTTCACAGGTGTATCCTGTTTGCGCCCGTTCCTAGCAGCCAGCAGACCATGCCAAGAGCAATGCGTGAAACAGTCTGTACGATGCCGATTATGCTGTCCAAGAGTTCCCTCATCAGTTCTAGGGATGGAACCAAGTCATTTTGTACGGGGGAGGGTTGTATGTATGTAGTATAAAATATTTCACCAGCTTGGAAGTCCTGCAGCTATCACGTCTAGCAGATATTGTGTTCGTCCGTCCTGTAGCAGGCTCTACACGCGGCAACTTGACTGACCTAATTTTAGTTTGCCTAGTTTGATTGCTTGATTAGTAATGAGAGAACACAACATTTCCCAACCATGCAGGCAACCCACGCCTTGCACAGCAGTGTTTTGTACCAGAGGGAGATAGAATGGCGGAGATGTTGCGTCGAACGGTTGCGGTAGACGAACATCAGCGGCATCTTTTCGGTTGGGAGACATAACGGCGTTTGTTCTTCCTGCGTTTCGAATCACTAATCTTCGACCGACCCTCTCTGCGATACTGTGCAACAGGATGAAAAATCATGCCTTCGGGACCGCCTTGGTCTCACTGCTGGCAGCTGCGGTAACCAAGGGCGACGCGGCTAGACGCTCCTCGCGCCTTGCTTTCACCTTCACGGCACCGGCGCCCACGCCGCGTTGCTTGAGCAACAGCATTAGCAGCAACCGCCTCGGGTGCAGACCTTGCTCGAAATCGCAACCGGCGACGAGACCTGGAGGATGGCCCCGTGTGGGTACCCGCAGACGAGTGGCAAATGTTGCTGTCCTAGGCTTGGCTGATGATGGAGCGACGGGGCCAGGCTTAGGTGAGACTTCGCTACCAGACGGCACAAGCCGGGGGCGGCGGCAGAGGCACAGACCGCGACCGAGCGGGGGCGGGAAGCGAGGAGGTTGGTTCAATAGGGCGGCCGGTGTAGGCGGGGCAGGACAAGCGGTTCGATGTGCAAAGCTTGGTGCCGCTTCGGTACCGTCGGATTTCGGCGGGACGGAAGAGGCGGAGGATAGATGCATCAGGCGACTCGATTTGGCGGTGAGGGAAATCGTGGGAGAGATGAGTTTGGTGAAGGAAATACAGGAATGGACGTTGTGTGAGCACGCTTGGGGGGGCGTACCTAGTACCAAGGGCTAAAGCGATGCACGGGCGAGCAAAAGACGTTTGGAAACGTAACTTATTTTGGAATCGGTATCAAGTTCGAGTGATGTTGCGGTAAGCGGTCGTGAGCGAAAGGCACTGGCTGTAAGCGCGAGCATTTGGAATTATAATCACGTACACATAGGAATACGATAGTACCAGGTGTATATCTGGTGTTACTGCTGCTTGCTGTTGTTGTTGTTGTCGCTATGGCTGTCCCCGCTTGTTATTTGAAACCTCGATCTATGCTGCCTCCGTGCTTTTCAGAAGTTTTTCTGTTAACAGCTCTGTGCCCACGCATAACACTCGCAGGTCCGAAGAGTTTTTGCCGATTACTATTCCTGCACTGACGTGCGGGAGACGACAGAATCACTGGGCGTGTTTCTGAAGGAGGCTACTGCTGCTCTGGAGCTAGACTGCTCCACCTCCCGCTCCGGAAGCGTATTCCCCGCCCACCTCGCCTCCCGACTGAAGGCCCGGCTGCTACAGACTGCGGACCGGCTGAACTACCACCTGGACGGGGACAAGCCGATGGTCCTCTACCGTCTTTGGAACAGGTTTGTCCTACATAGTGGTTGACTCGGGCGACGTGGGAGAGCGCGGCGACTGAGGAATAAAACCTGGAAAAACAAAGCCAGGGTCACACGTTCCTTTCTGTTTTGTTTGTTTGGTGCGACACCCGGCCTCGTCTTGTGTCCTGGTACCAGGGTGCGTGGCTGACGTTTTTTTTTGCATTGTGCCTTTGTCATCATGTTGCATGGTCGGCTCCGCTGTCTGCGTTGTTTCCCGATCTTCTTACCCTCACATATACGATCCGTTATAGACCCTCGAGACTTCACGCCCTTTTTCGTCCCTACGGCCATCTATCTTGGCCATACAACCACGCTATCCCTGCCTCTGCTTGACGCCAATGATATGCCATCCCAGCTGACCCGTGACGTGCTCGTGTTTCGTCGCGTCGTTCTTCGGTGCGTGGCTTCAGGGGCCGGCCGATCGACGTGTACGACCGAGATCTGCTAAACTGTCCTCGCTGGATAGAGCTTGTGGCTGAGACGAAGAGACAGGTGTGTCCCAAGACATGGTTTGATTCGTTTCATCCTCTTTTCGCACGAGTCTCTTTTCTGGTGTTTGCTGCAGTTTGCCTCCCTGCAACTTTCCCCGCTCCTGCTTTGCGCTTCTGCTGTTGATCGCCCGTGTCGTGCAGATGGACAATCCTCCGGTGGTGGTGGAGGGGGAAATTGGCACCATCTGCTACCCGAGCGGCGACATTTTCGAGGGACATGTGAGCAGAGGCTGCATACCCGAGTACGCATTACGCACCATCTGCAGAATGCTCTTTTCAGAAACAACCCGGAACGCCGTTGTACGAAGGCCTTGGGTAGGCTAGCCTCGCAGACTGCTGTATGCAACGTTAACCTTAAACTAGACATCATTGTCATTACCTTGATGTTTTGAACCTCTGCCCCCTATTCCAATCCGATTCAACGGCGTACCCACTTGTGGCGGCCTTTTTCATTTGTTCCCCAACCCTCCTTCACGATGTGTCTTTTGCCGTCGATGAACCCTGTTGGTCACCCAGGTCGATTCTCTTATCCGAACCGCAAAAGCGGGAGAAGTCCCCTTGGCGGCGGCGTCTTACCCACCGCAGAACGCGAGACCCTTCGTAGATGCTGAGTTGTCTTCTTCCGCCGACGCTACCGCATCCTCTCGGGGATTAGAGGGCAGCAGTAGCGGCGGTGACGGCGGAGGGGCCGTGACCCAAGACGTGCGTACGGTCTCGGGGCTGGTGTCCCTGACGATAGCTTGCTTGGAGGAAGGGATGTCCGACGAGGCGACCATCCTGCAGCGGCACCTCCAAAGCCCTGACTTCGGGCACCCCCTCCTGAGGCTGGCCTCGCCGTCTGGCAACGAACCAGACCACCCGCACCTTCCCGACGATCCCGAGGTGCGTGGTGGTGCTCATGTTTCTTTTTTGTGATCTGGAGCGTGGGGTTTCCACACGAAACGCCAATCGAACGTCCGTAGCAGATGCATTCACCGGAACAATCGTTATTGTGAGAGCATGAGTGTTGATTGAGTCTTTCCATCCTCTTTGTTCTCGAAACCTTGATCTATGAGCGGTGAGAGCGAAGTATGTTCTCTGTTGGCCGGGAATAGGGAGAACGGATCGTCACACGCTCTCAAGGCCTGTTTTGTAACCCCTAGCTCCCGATTTGCCTCACCATGTCTCGCTGCTCGCACCGCACCGATTTTTGGGGTATTCGCGGCGTCCTAATTTTACCTAAAATAGTCCGCGAACGTACATTGCTGCAGGCTTTGTCCGAGGGAGACGTAGCGCAACTGCCATCGATGTCGCGCTGAAGGCAGTAGGAAGTCTTTTTTGCTGGCGTACTCTCTGAACTGAACTGACCTCCAAGCGTAAGAACCCGCCTCTCTGTCGCTCCCATGGCTGGCTTCGCAGATGAACCCGGAGTTGCTTCGAGCAGAAGAAGAGCTGACCGAGGAGCACTTAGCCCTCGGAGAGAGAGGAGCCAAGGAGCTCATGCACGACAGGCGTCGGGCCCAGCTAGACGTATACCTCATTTGCGCCGCTTATCGACGCAACCTGCCCGAAGTAGATGACGCTGCCAGCAGAGGCGGCTGGCATCTCAATGAGGAGGACGGTCGGATTCTGGACGAGATGATCAGAGAGGCGGCGGCGATGGACTCGCGGTGGTCTTGATGTCATGCACCAGTTTGATGCGGGTTCCTCCCCTCGGTGGAGCTTGATGAGAAAAGGATAAAACAGCGGCCTAAACGGTAATGCTATTTGCGACACAGCATAGAGTGCTTTGAAACCATATTTTCTGTGTCCCTAGGGCTCTCAGCTGTCGCGCAAGCTCTCGTTCGTCCCATAGTGACCGGTGGTTGCCGAGACCTGGGCCTCTTGACTTGCTGTACACCATCTCCCAACCCGCGTGCCCCCTAGGTCGTAAAACTATGCATCACCTGGTACTGGAAAATTGCTGACTTGGCGTCAGTATGTCCCCACGGTTTTGGGGGCACTTTTATATTCTGAAGCCAAGTCACCCTTTGTGTGGCAAGGAGCTCAGATTCTTTGGAGGGACTGTAGCCCCTCGACCAATGTCTGGAAAAGGCATGTGCGATTTTGTTTTTTGCGGAGGGACTGGGTACTAGGAGGGTTAACAACAAACGTTGCATAACATACTACACCCCCTGGACCGGTTTTCGAAGCTCGATTACTGCACGACCAAGAGAATGCCGAAGGCAAACGATACGTGTTTGGAAAGCTCTCGACGGGACGCTTCTAGCTCGGCCATTTTCGAGGCCGTCACTGCGTTGCCAGCCGAGTAATCAAGCTTTGAAAATCTGTCCAGCGGGCGGTATCTTCTGCAACCTGGGGTATGTACGACACCGTAAATATCTTCCGAAAAGACCTCCATTAGACACGGAAACAATTGAGTAGAGTTCTCCCGGCCCCCGGCTGTCGCACAAGCCATCATTTGGCCGAAATCAAAATGTGGTTCCCGAGATACGCCCCAAGCAGGTGACCGTAGCACCACCTCGGCGGTGTCGTAAATTTGCCCTTGTTTTCGACACCGCGCAAAACTTCCCGAACAAATCTCCAACGAGCACAGAACCAATTTTGCTGTGTTTCCACGGCCCCCAGCTGTCACGCCATGCATCATTTGGCCCAAACCAACATGCGGTTGCCGCTTACGTGTAGTCCTATGTACATGTTGCCTTCTTATGACGACCGAATGAGGGCCCAGAGTGGATAGGCTACATAATCCACGGAGTAGACTAGTCCATCCCGATCGCTACATACAAACGAGTGGGAAACCTGGTCACGTTGGCAAGCATTTTCGTGAGCACCTTGGCCAGCGCACAACACCCAAAGGTCCGTAGGCGTCGTTGAACGGCCCCAACTACCAAGACGAAACATACACATCGGTGGCGGAAGGAGTGGGGAGGGAACCCCATGTTTCGTGCACCAACGTCAGCAATCGCGTTCAGCAATCGCGTTCGGGTCGGAACCTGCTTCGGACGGTTCATAGGTTTCGGAGTAGGGAGATTGTGCGGGAGCGGGAGATAGGATGACAGATGTTATTTTCCTCCCCTGTCACAGTTGGTGTAAGATAGTTCTCCGAATCCCGCCGGATCTGCTGCGAATTCCATGGACGGAAAGAGCGAAAGTAGTCAAGCCCGTTTCCATTTCCATGGAGTCGATTTTTTGACCGACATGGTACCATTTTGCCTTTGATTGTCATGTTGGTTTCGCAATATTGTTCCATCCATTTCTTCTCAACAGTGTCGTGACACTGAAGTACTGAAAAGGCAGATTTTGGCTTGAGATATATATCGGTTCACTCGACGAGGAAGACTTCTCGAAGCAGGCGCCGAAACATATATTTGTGACTTCCTGCGAATGCTTCTGATTCGATCAAACCAGCGAGATATGCGTGTCGGAGTCAGGACTCGGCTTCACACTGGGGCTTCGGGCACAGACAGAATGAATGAGTGGAGTTGTCACCTAGGGTTACATGGTTCGAAGGAGTCAGTGCCCTGTTTCACAGCGGGACTTTGGGTACAGATATAGCCCTCGAAAGGAATATCATGGACCGCAGGAGTGAAGCTCCAACGTAGGGTTACTACTGTGAGAGAGCTTGAAGAAGTCGGAACTCGGTTTCACACCGGAAATTGGGACACCGAGAGCCCTGCCAATGAATGTCGTGGGAACAAACATGGTGAAGACCGCGTTTCCGTGGAGCTTAATTTCTTCAACGACCCGTACCATTCTCCTTTGGGGTGTCACAGCATTATTTTCACAACTTTCACTCCCAATTCGACGACCGTGCCGTCCTACTGAGAACGCAGAGTTTAGTTTCAGATGCATATCGGTTCCCTCGACAAGTAAGTCTCCTGGCGAAAGAAACGTGGGGTACCCTCGCTTGCGCCCGTCACTCCTTCCGCCACCGAGGGTTATTACGCTTACGTCTTTGTAGTCGGGACCGTTCCACAATCCCTATGGACCTCCGGGTGTTGTGCGCTGGCCGAAGTGCTGACTAAAATGACGCCAACGTGACCAGGTTTCCCATTCGTTTGTATGGAGCGATGGGGATGGGCTTCTTTGTGGATAATGTACCTGCACCCTCGTTCGGTCGTCATAAGAAAGACAAAATGTAGGACTACATGTACAACGGCAACCGCATATATATTGGTTTCGGCCGAATGACGACTTGCGCGACAGCCGGTGGCCGTGGGGATACAGCAGAAAAATGGTTTTGAGGCCGCTAGAGGTGAATTCGGAAAGTTTCGCGCGGTGGGCTTTATGACACCGGCCGAGGTGGTGCTGCGGCCGTATTCTTGGGCGTATCTCGCGAACAACATTTTTCATTTCGGCGAAATGATGGCTTGTGCGACAACCCAGGGCCGCGGGAACACAGCTCAATTGGTTTCGTGCCGATTGGACGTGTTTTCGGAAGGGTACTTACGGTGTCCTACATCTGCAAATTTTTCGACATCGCCGAGGTGGTGCCGGGGCATAATTTTGCGCCGTATCTCGGAAACCACCGGTCACTATGGGACGAGCGGGAGCTTTCACGGCCGCTGAGAGCCCTAGGGACACAGAGGGTGTGGTTTCGAAGCATTTCGTGCGGTGTCGTGAATAGTTTAACGGTTTTATTACGTTGAGACAAAGCGAGGCATTTTTCATTGTTGATATGCCAAGATGTACACAATTCCCGGGGAATCGCGTTTAGAAATCCTTCGCCGTCCTCGTTCTATGTACTGGCTCTACCTGTTTCGGGTAATATGGATTCTCCGATTCGCCTCGCCCTCCGCACTTCCGCAACATTGACGGAGTTTGAGGTGCGATGTTGCACCCTGTTTTCCTTTTGATGATGCAGAACCTACTACAGACCCAATCAATACTGCTGTCCACATTTGCATGCTGCACCTTCACGAGTATAGTGGCTAGATGCTATTTCAACATCTACGTCAAAGTCAGGGTTACTCGAAGTCTACACTGCAGTCTGCATGTCCAGGGAATGAATGTCGAAGAGCGGAAAGAGTGAACATAGTAAGCATCGGCGCGACAAAGAGTAGCCACAAATTTACCAGCCCCAACCTTCTTGGGTTGCTGTACAAAGTTGATAACCCTTCACAGGTTCCGTGCTTGCAATGTTCGCTGGCGGTCAAAACATTTTAATTTGTCTTACATCTCTGACGATACAAATATTGCACAAGACCGACAAATAATTTCACCACTCCCGAAGCGATAATAGTTAAACCTCGAGCAAGCTCCGAAAACAACCAGCAGGGGATTGCAAACCCCCCCGAAACCAAAAGAAGCGCGCACCTCAATCAATGTTGGACGCCGAGTCGAAAAACCTCATCACGTACAGTCCCTGTAACGCATCAATTTGGCCACATCAAAAAGAACAACCAAACACTTCCTACGCTGAAACACCGCAACAGGTATTCCCGACAAAAAAAAAAGAAATCTTGTCCGTCCCGATCCGCCAAGGGATTCGGGTTTGCAGCAAATAATGTCCGTTTCACCCGTCAAGTCACGCGATATAGCCGCGCTTGTACCGTCACGCGATACAAATGCACCTGTACCGACCACTTCCCGCTGGCTACAACATCTTGTGGCTTAGCCCACGCGAGCTGGCGACCACGCTTGAAACCCTGAGAAGAAAGCCATGTTCGTGCGGACAGTTTTCGTCGCTTGCCCTCACTCACCGCGCATTTCGGCTGATCGGCTCGCTCGAACGATAGGTCGGTCACGCCTTCCGCAGGTCAGTCTGACCAGGGAATCTGGCCACACGACTTCGCCGAGAGGTTGATCGAAGTCGTTGCCAAACCGTAGATGTCGGAGCGTCGCCGGCCACACAACTTGGGCGATGGGCTGATTGAACTTGTTTCCAAAACTCAGGGATTGAAGGGTGGCCGGCCAAACGGCTCCGGCAACCGGCTGGTTGAAAGCATCCCCGATCTTTAGTCTCTGCAGGGACGCCGGCCACACGGCTCCGGCAATAGGCTCGTTGAAAACATCTCCGAGCGATAGCTGCTGCAGGGAGGCCGGCCACACGACTTCTTCGATGGGTTGATTGAAGGCCGGGCTCAAATTCAGCTTAGAAAGGGAAGCTGGCCACACGGCTTCCACGACGGGGTGATTGAACACTAAGCCGAGATGTAGCTCTTCAAGGGAGGCCGGCCACATCGCTCCGGCAACCGGCTGGTTGAAAGCATCCCCCATCCATAGTCGCTGCAGGGACGCTGGCCACACGGTTCCGACAATAGGCTGGTTGAACGCATCTCCGAGCGATAGCTGCAGCAGGCAGGTCGGCCACACGGCTCCGGTGATGGGCTGATTAAACCCGCTCTCGCTGGAAAACCATGCCATGAACGATATTTCTTTCAAGGACTCTGGCCAAACGACTCTGTCTATGGGCTGGTTGAATCCACTACCGAATTGCAGCATTTGAAGCGATGCCGGCCACACGACCTCAGCGATAGGCTGGTTGAAGTGTTCGCCAAACCAAAGCTGCTCCAGGGCAACCGGCCACACGACTCCGGCGATGGGCTGATTGAATGTATACCCCAACGCCAGCTGCTTCAGAGAACCCGGCCACACAACCCCAACAATCGGCCGGTTAAATGCGTATCCAAACGATAACCGCCGCAGGGAGGCGGGCCACACTACCCCGGCGATGG